TCTGCAAGTACAGTGGTACCTCAGGTTACATACGCTTCAGGTTACATACGCTTCAGGTTACAGACTCTGCTAACCCAGAAATAGTACCTCGGGTTAAGAACTTTGCTTCAGGATGAGAACAGAAATCGTGCAGCGGCGGTGCAGCAGCAGGAGGCCCCATCAGCTAAAGTGGTGTTTCAGGTTAAGAACAGTTTCAGGTTAAGAACGGACCTCCGGAATGAATTAAGTACTTAACCCGAGGTACCACTGTAATGGACTTCTATCCTGGAGACCTTGTTGTGGCCACAGACAAGTCCATGCCCATTCATCATGTCCCTATTTTCCAGGGACAGTCCCAGATTTATTTTCGTCAGAGCAATGTTGGAGGGTATGCAATCACCCAGGGGTGCCAACTCAAATAAAATATTGGGGGTCCCAGGTAAGCCCCGCCCAGCATAATCGATCACATGACGTGGTACATATGCACCATTTGAATAGCAATGTGAATTAACTTTGGGGGTGCAGCCCCCTCAAATGTTTTATCGGGGGTGCTGAAGACCCCTTGGCCCTGGCTCCTCTGCAATCACCATGCTACAATTTTTGAAGTCCTTTACCCACCTCTGTTTTGCTACATTTCATTCCATGGCCGTTTGCACCCAGAATGGCCGGCACGTATCTGAGCGGTTTCATTTACTTCATGTCACATATCTGATGCTCCTGCTGATTGTTGAAGAGCAAACAATCAACTCTATGGTCCCAGCTGAATAAGGAAGGCAGAGTCCATTCTGGGATATTAGCCAAGAATGCCAGATGGACAAGATTGCTGAAACAATTACTATGAATTTACAAATTGTGCCTCTGGAATACATAATGTGTTCTACTGATTTCCTGCCTATGGGGAATTTTAAGTGTTAAAAGCACTCTTTAGCCCGGGGTAGAACTTCTTTGCCCTCCTTTTCAGTTGGAGCAGAGAAAACTTACAGAGTTTTTCATTAGCCAGAAACTGTGCAGTTCATGAAATCTAAGGGCCAGAGTCATTGCAAACGCTATGTGCACTGCAGCCGGGTGATTGCACAAGTAATTGCCATGGGCTGCTTTATGGATCCCACAATGGATTTTGCACATTGTTCTAAAGTTGATGTACAACCAACCTGGGTTTGGCTCAAACCAACTTTGAAACATTGTGGATATGCTTTAAATGGAAGACGTATACAGCACTAAAACAGAACTGCTGAGCAGAAATGTGGGTAATTGAACAGAAAAAGAAGGGGATAGTTTAAAGGCTGAAAGGCCAAAATTATCAGAATGAAAGAAATTTCAGAACAGTAGCCCACCGTACTAGTCTGTAACAGAGGCGTAGCATGGGGGGGTGGCCCTGGGCACAATCAGGTGCCTCCACAATTGGTAGGTGGATGGAGGAAGCGGGTGAGGAGCCTGTTGGAAGTGGGCTCTGTTCACCGCCACTCCAGCTGCCTAGTCCAACAGGGGGCGCCACACTTGCCCCACTCCGGGAGCCAGCAACCCACGCTATGCTGGGAAAACAACAGAGGGTTCTTGTACCTTAAGGACTCCTGACCATTAAGTCCAGTCGTGACCGACTCTGGGGATGCGGCGCTCATCTCGCTTTATTGGCAGAGGGAGCCGGCGTACAGCTTCCAGGTCATGTGGCCAGCATGACTAAGCCGCTTCTGGTGAACCAGAGCAGCGCACGGAAACACCGTTTACCTTCCCGCCAGAGCAGTACCTATTTATCTGCTTGCACTTTCATGTGCTTTCGAACTGCTAGGTTGGCAGGAGCAAGGACCAAGCAACGGGAGCTCACCCCGTCGCGGGGATTCGAACCGCCAACCTTCTGATCAGCAAGTCCTAGGCTCTGTGGTTTAACCCACAGCGCCACCCGCATCTCTGTTCTTGTACCTTAAGGACTAGCAAATTATCATTGCCTGTCATGGGCTATAGTGCATTTCATTTAGATGCATTAGGTGTTATCCAGAGTTAAGACAAAGACAGAGACAGAGATGGTCGCTTTCCTTACCAAGAAACTCAAAGCAACGTACATTAAAATCAATTAAAAACAACAATAAAAAGCTAAGAACACAGGTAAACAAAAGGCCAGAGGAAACCAAAGCCCTCCAGGTTTTGTTACATTACAACTCCCATACCCAGCCATTAGCCATTTTCACCCGGACTGCTGGAAACAGAAGTACAGTACAGTGGACAATTGGTTGCGAACGTGATCCATGCGGGAAGCACGTTCGCAACCCACAATGTTCGCAACCCACAGCGCTGCATATGCAAACTCACGATTCGGCACTTCTACGCATGTGCAAAGTGTGATTTAGCGCTTCTGCGCATACGCAACCGCCAAAACCCAAAAGTAACTCCTTCTGGTACTTCCAGGTTTTGGCACGTCCGTAACCCAAAAAAATGCAACCTGAAGCATCTGTAACCCAAGGTTATTAAGATTAAATTTAGTGTACAACATTGGAGAGCACCATGTTTGGCAGCCTTCATATATTCTGTATCCAAGTAAGGCTCAGAAGGTGTCTGGCCAATCTGGAATCATACTATCAATAGAACAAGTCAAGCACTGAACCACAAAAGAACCAAACTGATGGTCTTCAGAGAAGGCCAATAAACAAAACAAAACAAAAACAACAACCAGCATACAAGTCAAAATGAGGTAAGAGTAGGTGCCCACATATTGCTGTTTGGGTATACAATTTGCCAGCTCCTGTGAATAGCAACCTCAGACCACCCAAGTGCCCCTGTTTTCCAGTCATGGATTTACAGAAGATGTCCTGGTTTTACTGGGCGAGAATCACCTAACCACCCCCATCAGCAGAAGCCCTGCTCAAGGATTTCCACTTGTGACTTCCCACCCCCTCCTCCCTTTGCACACACCCCAAAATCGGCTCCATAGGGGGTCAGGAGAACCCCCCAGAACAGCACACAGAGGTGGGAGATCTGCAAGCTGGAGTACTTGTACAGGTGGGACAACTGGAAGCCTACAGTGTTGACTTCCACCCTTCATGCACACAATTTCACAAATAACGGAGATGGGGTATTGTTGTTTTGCTTCCATTCTTAATTTATCTGCATTAATTTCACTATAGCTAGAAATGTATTTACGACGCTGCTAGTTGCCTGTGCATTAGCTGTTTGCAAAAACAAAAGGGAACGTGAGAGATTAAATTTAGTGTTGAATGAATCTGTCTCGTGGAGATCATCTTAATAAAACTCATGTAGTGCAAAAACACAAGCATTCCACCAAGAGAAATGCATTAAATGAGCTTGGGTCATATTCAATAAAACAAACAAACCCAGAGCTCTCCGAGCAAAGGAACCTCCTCTGAAGCTTAAAAAATCGACATTTTAAGGCGTTACAGTTTCACAATTTACCTTTTAATTGAATTTGGTCTGCAAGCTTACCACAAAAATAATGTGCTACAGTGTCAGCACTTTTATAATGCTCTAATAGGAAGCAGACTATCTATGACATCTTTGAATAAAAGGGAACACTTTTTTTTAGTGTTCTATTAAACGTGAAAAGATTGCATTTTTTATTTTTTAAAAAAACTCTGCTTCAAATGCTGAAAGTTATTTGAGTTTAAAAATCTCAACGCTATTTGAACCAGGAACAGGAACAGGGTATTTATTCTGGGAATTCAACAGCACACTTCCTAGTCACCACTACACATCCAAGGTGTTTTCCTCCACTGTCCACTGTAAAATGCTGCCTCTGAAACTGATTGTAAAATACAGCCATCAGGACTAGTAGCCTCCATAAACTTGTATAATTTCCCTCCAAAGCCAACCAAGTTAACAGACGTCACTACAATTTGTGGTGACAAATTATAGCTGAAGGAGCATCTCCAGGGCCGTCTTACCCATAGGTGCTAGGGGTGCGGGGCACCCAGGCACAGGGCTCTCAGGGGTGCCAGGCTAAGAGTCCAGGGCCCAAGAGTTGAGTCCAGGGAAGAGCCCACCCATTGGTCGGAGTGCCTCAGCAGGCTCTTCTGCTGCGGGCAGCTCTGTGCCACGAGTTCGGAGGGGGGACCCAGTCAGCAAGACGCGGATGCAGCTGGCTGGCTCTGTCCTCCTGCACTCCTGGGACTGGCAACCTGGGGGGGGGGGAGGATCCTTGCACCCCAGCACTGCATATGCTTAAGACAGCCCTGAGCATCTCCACCCCCATCTTTCAGCCCGGACACTGAGGTCCAGCTACGAGGGCCTTCTGGCAGTTCCGTCCCTGTGAGTAGTGAGGTTATAGGGAGCCAGGGAGAGGGCCTTCTCAGTAGGCGCCCGCCCTATGGAATGCCCTCCCGTCAGATGTCAAGGAAATAAACAACTATCTGACTTTCAGAAGACATCTGAAGGCAGCCCTGTTTAGGAAAGTTTTCAATGTTTGATGTTTTATCGTGTTTTAATATTCTGTTGGGAGCTGCCCAGAGTATGTATGTATGTATGCATGCCTGCATGCATGAACAAACAAACAAAATTATTATTATTATTATTATTACATTTTATTTTTATTTTTTTATTATTATTATTATTATTACTACTGCTACTACTCCATAGTTGAACTATGCTTTGGAGAGATGTTCTTCCATTAGTCTCACCTCCATCTCCCGCCATCCAACTTCACTGAAATGACCTCCAGCTTCTTGAGAGGCTCTTTCACTTACCTCACCTAATTCATAATTTTGTGCACCGATGTCATGCCGCTGCCCTTATTCACCCCATTTTTTCAAAGCTTAAAAGGACCCAAACACCGTAGCATTTGCTCTCAGGGGTGTTTCTCCCCTGAGATCGTTCTGGTTGCCCTCCTGAAGCTTTTACAGCTCCACAACATCCTGTCTGAGGAGAGGAGCTACAACGGCTCATCGTATTACAAGTGCACCCAGAACCAGTCCACCCGTGAGATGCGATGAAGCACAAGAGGCAGCGCACTGCCTACTACACTGCTTCTGGCGCCACCAGAACACCCCTCTCTTGCTGCAAGCATTCCAGTGTGTGGTGTTGTCACTTGCCTCCACCACCACAGGGACACCAAGGCCCTAAAGAACACACATGTATACCCTCCAACGTTTTTACGATGAAAACAGGGACAGCCTATTCAATCATGATGATGATGATGATGATGATGATGATTGTGGCGTTCGTACGAAGCCCCCGGTCATCTCACGTACTATTGACCCGCACACCACTAATCCGCTGCCACCAACCAGGTCCTCCCCGGTAAATCACTTAGTCTCAGTCAGGTTAAGTTAACAATGAAGATTGTAGTTTATTGCAAACAAAAATAAACTTTAAATGCATTTGAAACGCTGTTCCCCTTTACCCTCCTAGTCTTATTTTATTCTGTCTCTAACTCTTCTATCTCTCCTCACACAAGAACCAACTGCACTAACTGTCTCTCTAATTCCAACTGTCTGCCAACTGCTTTCCCAACTGCCTTTTCCCAACCAACTAAACCTCGGGCTAAGCCCTTTTATAAACCGGTAGGCTCCACATCTGGCTTTTCTATTGGTCTACCTATTAACTCTTTCTCTCCCCCCGTACAGACATTTTCAAACGAATGGGCAAACGCCACAATGATGATGATATTATTTATATCTCGCCCATCTGACCGAGTTGCCCCAGCCCCTCTGGGCAGCTGCCAACACATATAAAAACATAAAAAATGCTGGAAATGTGGAGAAAAAGAAGGAACCTTTTACCACATGTGGTGGATGTGCCCCAAGGTAAAAGACTTCTGGGAAAGGATTTATAATGAATTGGAAAAAGTGTTGAAAAACACATTTACTAAAAAACCAGAAGCCTTTTTAGTTGGTATAGTGGGGGGGGGGGGTGAAATCCCCAAAAAGGATGTTACTTTTTTTCTGTATACCACAACAGCTGCGAGAATATTGTTAGCGAAGAATTGGAAGAAACAAGAATGGCAGATGAAGATTATGGACTATACGGAACTTGCCGAACTGACCGGGAGACTCCGAGACCAGAGAGAAGAGACGGTGGAAGAAGACTGGAAGAAGTTTAAGGAATATTTGAAAAAATACGTTAATATTTAAACCTTAGAATAGCTTTGGAAGTGGATATAGGCTGTAGGGTCAGAAGTAGAAGATAGGGTATTTTAAAATAGTATTATTTGTAAGTGATAAAAGTTATTTTAAGTATGATAAAAAAGATGGTTAGAAATTATGATATATGTAAACTGCTAAAGATGAAGTAAAATGAAAATCAGATAGGTGGGACTTGGGGAAGTCAACTTAACAATGTTTAGAAAATAATGATAGGACAAGAATTTGTTCTTATTGTTTGTCTTTTCTGTCTGTGTTTTTTATCTGTGTTATAAAATGAATAAAAAAATTTTTTGGAAAAAAACACATATAAAAACATAATAAAACATTAAACTTTTTTTTAAAAAAAACCTTCCCTATACAGGGCTGCCTCCAGATGTGTTCTAAAGGTTGCATAGTTGAAGGGACAGAATACCCAAATCCTGTCTGAAATCACCCCAGGTTTCAATAATCACACCAGGCCTCAAAACTGTCCAAAACTCCTTTTGTCTTCTAAAAAATCCAAAACAGCTTTTCTCTGCTTGTCTCTGCTTTTCTCACAAGATGCTGTGGCAAAAGGCAAAATGTTACTTTTAAAGGCTAATGAATAGGCTCTGTTCATAGCAGGCCTGGGAAATGAATCTTATCTCAATCTTATCTCATTCTAGTTGCAACACATCTGAACAAGCTGAACGCAAGGCTTCTCACCCCCCCTTTCTTGGCAAGAGTCCACAATAGTCCCAAGACAGCTTTCTGTTCATGCTCAGAGGAACTCATGGGCAGGACTCTGGAGAAAGGAGGAGGGAACTGGAAAGGGGTATATATGCTTGTGCACAGGACTGTGAACTTCGTGCATGCTTTTTGTGACTTATCACACTTGCTCCTTCTACCAGTTCATGGATGGTAGAAATAAAAGCCTTTTCTCCGAAACTATTCCTTGAGTGTCTGTTGACTCCCACTTCCCTTTCCCAGGCGCAATATTTTTCCCACCCGAGGGCAAAGCCTCATAAGGCTACATAGTTACTTATCTCTTTGGCTTGGGGGTCCCATAACTCCACTCCCTCCAACATTTCTCTGATGAAAATGAGGACATCCTAAGGATCAAATCAGAAACCGGGACAGCTTCTGTGAATGCAGGATTATCCCTGGAGAATAGGGACACTTGGTGGTTTTTGTGCATGTCTCTTGGTGAGTTTGGCAAGAGGGGGCTTCTGGCACAGGGCACTGTGGAATGCCCCCCCCCAACCAAGTTTCAGTGAGAGCGGGGGGAGGCCCATCTGGGAGGCAGGAGAAAGCGTATTCCATTTTCGCCTCATGTGGTCAAACGGGATGGGGCGGCCCCTCCTCCAGCCACAAAACTGATTGTAGAAGAGCAATCTATCCCAATGAACTCAAATGTAAAATCTGCCTTTTTCATTCTGTATAATTGGCAAAAGTGTAATTTTAATGTTTTAATGTTGTATTTTAATCTTATTTTTAAGTTGTATTCCTTCAACTTGTTTTTATTATTGCTTGTTAGCCACCCTGAGCCCGGCCTTGGCTGGGGAGGGTGGGGTATAAATAAAATTTATTATTAATATTATTAATATTGGGTGAATATTGGAAAATCAATAAAAATATAGGTTTTGTTTTTTAAAATGCCTTTTTCAAAGCAGTCACATACTTTTATATAACTACTCCACCTTACTCACTTTCTCTAAGCCAAATACACCCTCTGTTCCACACACACACACACACACACACACACCACACCATGATTTGGGTTCCCTTTTTATCTACCTTTCCCAGCTCTTCCGTAAGTGCCACCACGGCCAAAACATAAAACCTTTCCTTACAGAAAACGCCTCAAACCTATCTAATATAATCCCGATCCAGTACACTCAAAATATGTGTTTTTATCACTGGTTGCAGAAAGATGCAGAATGCGCCGCCACACAACTGTGGACCTGCCAGGAAGGGGAAAGGAATTCTTCTGCCGTGTCAAATGGAATTCAGCCTGTGCCAAAGAGCAAAATGAGAGGTTGAAAATGAAGCAGATATAGCACCGCCACTGCAGAAACCGTGCATTTGCAGAGATGGATTTCTCTGGAAACACATAAGTTAGTAGTAAGTGAGGTCAGGATAGCTCAGCGAGACTTTATGAACGGCGTCGAAGTACATAAAACTGTTCCTTTAAGGAACTCAACAGCAATATCAATTAGCTTTATTTACAAGTATACTTTAGCTGTCTGTGTTGTCCACTGATATATAACCGCAAAGCAATGACTCCACAGGCTTATTCAGTTGCCCTCAGCCTCACCCTTTCAATCTTCTGAAGACAAAAATTCTCCCTTTCTCCTACCACCCCTCCATGCACACACCTAACACACGCACGCATATGGTTTGCGCTTGGGGGCTTAGAAATCAATATACATCACTGCATATTTAAAAGAAGTCTTAAGCAGGGCTTTTTTTCAGCCGGAACTTACTAGAACTCAGTTCCAGCACCTCTCATGTGGGTGCCATTGCCATTATAAGAGAACAAAGGAGGTGTTCCTGGTGAGTTCTGGTATGGTGAGTTTCTAGAAAAATAGCACTGGTCTTAAGAAAGAATTGAAAGCAAGAAATAAAAATAACTTCCTATAGTAGAGTCGGACACAACTAAACAACAACAACATAGTAAGATCTGTGTGGAAAAGCTCTCTATCTCTCCCTTTGTCATAAGGACTTGCTCCATAACCTTTTCCTTGCAGCTAATTTTTTGTGACACAGGGATCCCATCCTGCAGAGATATGGAAATATGGAAGCTCCTGGACATGCCAAAATCACCTATCATCAGATCAATAAGGTAGCTTTGATTGTGTCCTCAATGTCCAACTGTTGGCCAAACTGGCTGGAGCTGATGGAACAACAATAATCTGGAGGACCGCATAGTCTTCTCCTCTGGTTTGGAAAGAGATTGTGTCAGCTGTCAGCTGTCCAGAACCTGTTTTCAGTCTAGGAGACTATCACGGCTCATGGAAAGGAGCAAAAGGGAAAGGAGCAAAAGGGAAAGGAGCAAAAGGGAAAATAACATGCACATGGAATTAAGGGAGATCTTAGCAGGTGCACCTACTAATCTAGACAGTGCTCAACAGCATCCTTTTCATTTGAAATGAGCCTGTGCACAAGGTTCAAGGTTCTTGTATTAATTTTACTTAGCTTTTATGGACCACCTGAACCCTTATAACCTAGCTCAATCACTGAGATTATCTATAGGAGCCTTGTTGGTTGTGCCCCAAATTGGTACTGACATCAACACAAAAACTTCAGTGTCATCATTGGCCTGCTCAATGGAGATTCAGGGGGCATTTTTTTATGTTAATCTTTCAGTCTTTGCCACCAGGATTCTTTAGGCAATTAAGAAAAGGTGGGGGGGGGGTTGTAATAGTTGGCTGGTAATCTGTTTCAAAGAGATATAAAAGCTGTCATTAAAAGCTATTGAATGTAGAAAACAGGCAACAGTATAGGAAAATGCTCAAAAAGGTGAAGGCCAAAAGATAATATTAAAAGACAATAGCAACTGCACAACTAAATAACTGAGAGAATACATCCATTGACGCGGAGGGGAAATGCAAGCTTTTAATGAAAATCAGCAATGAAAACTCTGTTTCGTGAAGAATGATTTGCAACACAAAGCCATAGAGAAAGAAAAAACAAAACTTAAGAGGAAACCTAATGGATGGCTTGTTGTACATTATTTGCTAATTACTTAATGTTTAATGTTTTATTATGTTTTTATATGCTGGAAGCCGCCCAGGGTGGCTGGGGCTACCCTGTCAGATGGGCAGGTTACAAACAATAAAAAAATATTATTATTAGTTATCATTATTACTTTGATAAAAGCTTATAAAATCCACCGACAGATATGGCTCTGGTACAACTGATATGCCAAGTCAGATAGGTAGGAGCCTTGACTGTGTTCTGTTCTTTCTGTTCATCCTTATTAATCATTGAGTCCCATGGCTAAAATTGTGGGGGGACATATAAAATACAGTAGAATCAAGAGTGATCTTGGGTTATCATCTCCTGGTTTCTACCTTTCTAGTGCATGTGCTGCATTCCTATGCAACCATGGTTAGCATCATGAGAATGAGCCTTTATAAGCCTCAGGAGGTTCATACACTCTCCCCAGCTGTGTTTGTTGGTGCAGTGCAGGTAGGATGTAGCTACTCACCTGCCTTCCAAACACTGAGCATTGCTGCTGGTTCCTAAGGAGGAGAGGGGCAAGGCATGGGGAGTGAGCCATGGTGTGAGTGTGACAGTGGAGTCAATCTGCCTGGCTCTCTATTCCTCAGCCCTACCTCTCGCCCTCTCGGGATATGGTGATAAGTGTTCAGAAGGCACATGAGCAATCCAACTCCATCTGTGCCACCCCACCCAACTGCTACTGCTTTCTCCCCTTCCGTCTCCTACTCCAGTATGGTCACAAGGAGGAGATGGGAATTTTCAACTTTTGTTGCCCATTAACCACAGTTTAGCATATCATCTCAACCCTAAACTATGGTTGATCTGAACTATGAAGTCTGAAGGCGACTTGTTCCAACAAAACACATTGGTCTGCAATTGGACGACACAACAAGCTCCTCAATCTAAAATGAAAGCTGGCGCTTCTGAACTCCTCCTCATGGTTGCGCAAGAAGACGAGGTGCAGGGACACACAAACTCAAGGCTCCCTGAAGTTCATTATTGTAACCCTTAACCATGGTTTAGTGTTACTTCCAATGAGGACCAAAAGGAAGATGAAAAAATGAGGTTCAAGTAAACGAGAAGAGTTTTAAAACGTACTCAACACAGTAATCTGGAGGGGGGAAGTGGGTTAGGCTTGTGAGTGATCAAGAACTTAATAGTGCAGGTGTTAGGAACCTTTGGTCCTCCAGATGTTGTTGAGCTACAAATCCTATCATTCCTGACCATTGGCCATGCTTGCTAGGGCTGATGGGAGTTGTAAGTTCAGCAGCAACTGCAGGGCCAAAGGTTCCCCACTCCTGTCATAGAGCAACCAATCCCAGTGGGCCTTGGCTACAGCAAACCTCGTTTTCTAAGGAACAATTGGGAGCACAGTTTAAGGCAGACACAGTTTTGCCTTCCCCCACACAGGTCATCATATATAGGGCAGGCACATATGGTTTTGGAAAGCAGGTCTCACAAGCCAAATTAGGGGCCCTGCTGGGCCTTATTGGCCCCACAGGCCAGAGCCTCCCCAGTGCTGCATTACATTACAGTGGTACCTCGGGTTAAGAACTTAATTCGTTCTGGAGGTCTGTTCTTAATCTAAAACTGTTCTTAACCTGAAGCACCACTTTAGCTAATGGGGCCTCCCGCTGCCGCCACGCCGCCACCACGCAATTTCTGTTCTCATCCTGAAGCAAAGTTAACCCAAGGAACCCAAGGAAAGCTAACCCAAGGAACTATTTCTGGGTTAGCGGAGTCTGTAACCTGAAACGTCTGTAACCTGAAGCGTCTGTGACCCAAGGTACTACTATAAATTATTTGCACATGTGCAGGTTGTAACAGATCCTCCAAGTGTCCCTATTTTCCAGGGACGGTCCTGGAAGTAGGTATACATTTCAGTAAAACCTAGGTATATATGCATTTTGTTTTTCTAGCTTGATCAAAATTATTTATTATTTCATAAAAAGTAGATAGTTAAGAGCTTAGGTGGCTTCAGCAGCAGGCACCTGGCGCTCCCCAGAATTTAGCGCCTGGGTGCCCCGCACCCCTTGCACCCCTGGGTAAAGATGGCCCTGCTTAGGATGTCCCTATTTTCATCAGAGAAATATTGGTGGGTATGGAATAGGACATCCCCAGGGCTTTTTTTCAGCTGGAACTCTGTTCTGGCACCTCTCAGGTGTGTGCTATTGCCATTCTAAGAGAACAAGATAGGCGTCCATGGTGAGTTCCGGCACCTCTTTTTCTAGAAAAATAGCCCTGGATGTCCCTATTTTCATGTTGGAGGGTATGTTGTAAATGTGAAAGCTCTCTTAGATCTTATCCCGCACCCTGGTGGACAAAGGCTGCTACTGAAGGTGATTTGGTGTCAATATCAAACTTGCATCACTGAATTAAGTCAAAGCAATTTAGTGCTAAGATCAGGAGATAAAGGCCATTGCCTGCTCTTTAGAGATACCTGGACTGGAAAATAGTCTCATAGCTGTGAGCAAAGTAAGTGTTAAGTCAGCAGGTAATGTACAACTTTATATACTATTGAAAACTAAGGAGTCTAATCTTAATAACATCTTTTTATAGTTACCACCCCATGTGACACAAGTGCCACTATAGGTAAAGAGGAAAGTGAAATCATCTTAATCTTTCCAATTCTAAATATTTACACGCCGTTATGCCTGAACCATGGCCAAGGCAGCTAACAACAACAAAATTAATCCGAAGATCAATATACAATTAACAATGAAAAGGTAACAGAGAATCATTCCCTTGTACCTTGGGACGTGGCCACAGAGAGCAATCAGCAAGCATAAAATTAATAAAAACACCAGAATATCTTTATGATCGGGGATTTATATAAGATGCTATCCCAAGCAACCACGTTTAATTAAAGTTCGTTTTGTAAGCTGGGCATAGCATTTGTGCATATCTCGAAGAAGAGGCTTATTCCTTATTCAAATTCACTTCCCAATTAACAGGCAGGCTCGTAAAATTCTCCTCCATAACTTTGCATATAGTGGTTGAAACAAAACACACACACACACACAGCGCTGGTAATAGCCTTATTAAATTATTATATTGCACTTTACAGCGTTATGCAGATTTCCCTCTCAAATTGACTACAGATTTCTCTCCAACCCATCTCATCACTTACACTCATGTAACCAATGATTTGCTTGCAGAGAAACTGGTGTTCGGGAGGCGGACAGCTAACACTTCCCTCTCTCCACCCCCTCCCAAATTTATTCTAATACTTTTCATTATGCACTAATTACTCTGACTGGTGATGGTTGAAGGGGAAAATGTGTGTGGCAGCCACAGCTCTTCCCATAACAGCCAAAGGAATTCATATATCACAGCCATTGTATGCAGATGCTACCAGTCTTTTCGTTTGTGTTTTCTCTGAGCCCGGAGGATTTTCATTTTTTAAGTCGCGGCTGCAATTTTTCATGCTGTCACTTCCAAACATGCATATTGACAAGAATGTCAGGAAGTGGCCTTGCATGCATTTATTTTCTCTCCCACAGCTTTGCAAATAATGAGAAAGATGATTTATCCATTAAGGTGCACACTGATTCATTGCTGAGAATGCGTTTACATTCATGTAATGGCATAATTAGCAGCGGTTGTCTGCAAAGGAGATGCTTTTACGGCCCATTGTTACTCGGCTAATACTCGACCTTTGGGTCCGGATGTGGGCGGCTCCCATATATCACAATTTTTTGAATGCTGGTGATGCATTTTCAAACCATGTTGGTCGTAAAAGGCTTAATTAAAAGTTGTAAAAGAGCCAGAAGTCTCATTGTTTAGCTTTGGGATTGCCAGTGCAAACAGTTTTGTTGTGTAGTTGTGAGGGTTTGGCAGCAACTTGCCAAAACAAAAAAACAAAAAGCTTTCCATTTTCTATCACTTATTCTTCAAATGTAGGGGCTAGACAGAACAGATATAAAGTTATAAAGCCGTTCATTACCTGCTGTAGAGAGACAGGGCTAGTAAAGCTCTTTCTCTATATATGATCATCTTTTGCACAGTCCTTATCAGTAAATAAAATTGTTCTTGTTCTTCTTCTTCTTCTTACTATTTACTTATTCCTTGCCCATCTGCCTGGGTAGCTTCCAACAGAATATTAGTACATTTCCGAGCACAATTCAAAGTGTTGGTGCTGACTTTTAAAGCCCTAAATGGCCTTGGTCCTGTATACCTGAAGGAGCGTCTCCACCCCCATCATCCAGCCCAGACACTGAGGTCCAGTGCCGCGGGCCTTCTGGTGGTTCCCTCCTTGTAAGAAGTGAGGTTACAGGGAACCAGGCAGAGGGTCTTCTTGGTAGTGGCGCCTGCCCTGTGGAATGCCCTCCCAGCGATGTCAAGGCAATAAACAACTATATTACTTTTAAAAGACATAGAATCATAGAATCATAGAGTTGGAAGAGACCACAAGGGCCATCGAGTCCAACCCCCTGCCAAGCAGGAAACACCATCAGAGCACTCCTGACATATGGTTGTCAAGCCTCTGCTTAAAGACCTCCAAAGGAGGAGACTCCACCACACTCCTTGGCAGCAAATTCCAATGTCGAACAGCTCTTACTGTCAGGAAGTTCTTCCTAATGTTTAGGTGGAATCTGCTTTCTTGTAGTTTGGATCCATTGCTCCGTGTCCGCTTCTCTGGAGCAGCAGAAAACAACCTTTCTCCCTCCTCTATGTGACATCCTTTTATATATTTGAACATGGCTATCATATCACCCCTTAACCTCCTCTTCTCCAGGCTAAACATGCCCAGCTCCCTTAGCCGTTCCTCATAAGGCATCGTTTCCAGGCCTTTGACCATTTTGGTTGCCCTCCTCTGGACACGTTCCAGTTTGTCAGTGTCCTTCTTGAACTGTGGTGCCCAGAACTGGACAGACAACTGAAGGTGGCCCTGTATAGTGAAGTTTTTAACGTCTGACGCTGTACTGTTTTTAATATTCATTTGGAAGCCGCCCAGAGTGGCTGGGGAAACCCAGCCAGATGGGCAGGGTATAAATAATAAATTATTATTATATTATTATTAGAAATACGATAAAACTTCAAACATTAAAAACTTCCCTAAGCAGAGCTGCCTTCATTCAGATGTCTTCTAAAAGTCAGATAGTTGTTTATTTCCTTGACATCTGATGGGAGGGCGTTCCACAGGGCAGGCGCCACTACTGAGAAGGCCCTCTGCCTGGTTCACTGTTGCTACTCTTGCCAAAAGAATCCACTCTTTTAATAACAAACAAAAGAAAAAAATTCTGAAATGCTCTAGATGGCCTCCACAACTGATAGGCCACATATGCACCCCTGCCGTTCAACACATGAAGCAAAGGTGAGAAACATTCTTCCCGTTTTTTTTCAATGGAAAGAAAATGGAAGCAGAAGGTAACTTGGCCTCCTTCAGATGTTTTGGACTACAATTCCCATCAATCCCACCTATGTGTTGTAAATAAAGGCAAGATATAAAAAAAATGCAATGAATCAATCAATGCATCTTTCAGTGGGACTCCGAATATTTGCCTCCAATAAATATCAGGAAGGAGTAGGTCACTGTGGAATTGTAGAATGGCCAGACTTCAAGTCTCAGAGAACTCTCAGCTTTCGCAGGACTCAGCGCAAATTGACTTAGAACTTGTGTATGGACCCTGTTCGGCAAGGACTTTGCAGGACTCAGTCTGGTACCACAGTACCTCTGTGGTACCAGACTGAGAAAAGCCTTCATATAACCCATGGGCAGGCAAACTAAGGCCTGCCGGCCGGATCTCCCCAATCGCCTTCTCAATCCGGCCCGCGGACGGTTCGGGAATCAGCGTGTTTTCACATGAGTAGAATGTGTGCTTTTATTTAAAATGCATCTCTGGGTTATTTGTGGGGCATAGGAATTCATTCATTTTTTTCCCCAAACTATAGTCCAGCCTCCCACAAGGTCTGAGGGACAGTGGACCGGCCCCCACTGAAAAAGTTTGCTGACCCCTGACCTGTATACAATGTGTAAATATTGTGTGTGCTACTAAAGCAACTCCACTTAAATCAGCAACTGTTTCTTGTGGGTGAGTGTAACAGCTTGCTGAAGCTCGTGTGGCACACGCAGAACGGACAAAATTTATAGGTGGCCAAAGACAATCAAAAACCCCAACATACATTCATTCAGACAGTTCTGCTTCTTCAGAAATTTGCTTACTGCTTTATAAACGTTGGTCAGTAGTCTTAAATAGAGGTAACACTTTGTCAAGCTTGTGAATTTGTCATAGTGGACATACTTGCCTACCTGGTTTTGCTGATAAACTGAAGGGATTTTTTATTATATATATAAAAAGATACAGGTGCCCTTTGTGCTTGCATATTCATAACTTGCTGCAAATTGGTAATGTTTTAGCTACAAACATTTCCAAGACCTAGAACAGTTTGCAGTGGGCTTCCGGAAATATTTGATGGACACTACCCTAACAAACTACAGCTTCAGAATCTAATCACTGTGGAAAAAAATTTCCTATGAAGCTGCAGAAAGCTTTCAACTTCACTGGCAGAGTTGAATCTGCAAACAATCCGTTTGTATTGTGAAGCGGTTAGCTCTCAAAGAAAACTGTTAATCACTTCGCAAAGCCCAGTAGACTTAGTGCCCATCCTTTCATGAATCATTTGATCAGCCAAAGCCATTTTCTTCCAACATTCAACGTGATGCAGCTGCTCATTATCAAGTAAAATACCTTGAGAGAAAGAGGAAAAGCGTAACAGAGGTTTAGATTGAATTTAAAATGATTCCTGTTAGTTTCAGTCCTTTACTCCTTTTGAGGCACGCAAAAGGTGTATTCTGGGGTGGAACAAATATACATGTAATTAGAAATGTAGGAACTGTTAGAGACTCAAATTCGTTTTGTACTCCTGTCTGTCTTTATATATATATGCATGTATATAAAAGTACAGACTCAGTCCATTAAATCTTCACCGTCTTTGCCATATTGTACTTTCAGGTACAAGACAGGCATAAATATTTAAAGATATTCTAGCATTAATTTTAAGGTTTGCGAAGTACTTGAGAGATTTCTGGGGCTATCAATCTATGCCTAATATAAAGTATCATGAAAAACTCTTGTACCTGCAGTTATGAATATGCACTCATAATAAGTATATGGTCAAGAGAGCAAGATAGGCAGGCATATTTCTTGAACAGAGGCAGAGGAGGGAAAAATACTGAAGTGGACTCTTCTCTCCCTTGAGGACCTCACATTTCATGTGTATGTATTTCTTCGCCCTATTAGCATTCCTGAGCCATGAAAGCCTTTTTTTCTCTTCCTTTATTATAACTAAAATTCTCCCCTGGAGAATATAGTGGGAGGACTGCAGTTGGTTAACTCCAATTATTTCTAGGACGGAGGCGATGCAGGTGAAATAGCAAGGACCTATTTGGAAGATGAAGTGACCGGCCTGAAATCACAAAGCAAAGTCAATGGTCTTTGGAGTTCGCCAAGAATGCCATAACTGCTCATTCTCTGGCAGCCCGGTCCTAAGGGTCCATTTTCACCCCGGCAATGCAAACACAGTAGCTTCCCTTGCAGCAGTTTAAGTGATGCCCTGTGCTTTGTAAATGGAGTTGAAGTATCAAGCTACAGAGTATGCAAATCTCTTGGTCCTGAAGGGTCCAAGCGACTCTCATAATGACACATATCTTCATCTCTGCTTCATATTCCTAAGGGTGTAGTTTAGGCAATTTCAGACTCTGGCCTTAATGGTCTTCAGAGCGGGGAGGGAGCATATTTTTAAGATGGTATTGTGTACTATTTCCATTTGGTGGTGGCTGGTGCCCATTGGGAATGGTAAGGCAGAAGGGAGGAAAGTCAATGGAGCCAGAGCCAATTCGTTCTCATTTTGCCCCCGTTCTCTTTCGGTGCTGAGTTTGACAAAGGAAAAACAGGCTAAGGAAGAGGAAGCAGAGAGCCCAAGCCACCACTGTCCTGGAATGGATGGAAATAATGGAGGCAAGTGGGCTTGAGGGAACCAAGACCGTGTTTCATGGGGCAGTGCCTAATGGACCAGCTTCCTGCTTCACAGGAAGTAAGCAGTAAGCCAGTCTGTTGCATTTAGGGGGCTGTTAAAGGGGCTTCACAGTCACATATATGACACCCCAGAAGCAAGGGAATATGTCATCATTTATGTAAATATACATCCAGCTGATGGATAATGGGAAGGTGAAAAAAAAGTACTGTAAATTGAATATAAGGAATGAAATATGAATTAGAAATAAATATGATATCAAGCAGCAACAGGGGAAAGTAGGGACACATCTGGAACCAAGAGTGGGAAGTCAACTTTTCTGAAAAACTTGTATTAAATTGATATGATTTGGCACTGATTTATTAATTTTTTTGAAAACTAATAAATATGATTTGGCAAAAAAGATGAGAAGTTAGCAATTCAGTGTACAACATAAAAACTTCAGGCAATGCACTAAAACACGTGCACATCTAAGGAACAATAAAAACTGGCGTACCATACGAAAGGCTCACAAAAGTTTTAGCAAGCAAAATATCAGTATAGCTAGTGATTGAAACATCAGTACTGCGCCTGTCAAGTATCCAGGAAGAGATCATTTCACATGGTGGATACCATCACTGAGAAAGCGCCCCTCCCCCCCCCTTCCCTGGTCTTAAGTGGATTTTCATTTTATTTTTCATTTTATTACATATCTACATTTGCCTCTGCACATACAAATTAGCATATGGACATTTTGTGGAAATCTACATTCTCCTTTGTCTATTTGTTTTAGAAGGTTTTCAGTGTGGCAACCTCCCTGCTGCCTCAACCCTCTTCCAGCCGGTAAGTCACTGCAACCCACCTACTAGGTCTTTTTCTGATCAGAAAGTGTGGGCAGCCAGGGAGGCTGCCAAGTCCTGGGGAAAGGCTTAACAGAAAGAGAAAGAAAAACACAACCACCACCCTTGGCCACCTCACAATTATAAGGTAAGCTCAACTCCACACCCAAATTTATAATAATAAATCCTAGAGTGCCCTGAAAATGAGAGACAAAAACAGAAGCCTCTTTTCTGAGGAAGAAAAGAGACTGAAGGATTGGTTCGGACTCCGAGGCTGGAATCCTATGCTGCTTACCTGGGAGTAAGCTACACTGAAATTAATGGGGGTTTCTTCTGAATAGACGTCTAGAGGATTGAACTATTAATCAATCACCCGAAAGGCAGTAAGTCAACTTTCTCACATGAAGCCCACAGGCCTCTTGCATAGATTGCCCACTCAATGACGGCTGTAGTTCTGCTTTTAAAAAAAAATGCAGAAAGGCTAATTTAGGTATTGAGCAGGGCATTATTCCTCCTCACTTCAATGCTTGTCTTTGGCATTTTACAGATCATACCTTTCTTCCAAACCCCTGGGCAGGTTCCCCACCCAACCCCGGCACCAAAGAAACCCACCCACCCACTAAAACTATTTTACAGCATTTATATATTTCGTGATTTATGCACCACTGCATATGCAACAGCTCCAAGCATTTTTTTTAAAAAGCATTTGATGTCTAAAGCTTTGGTGAAATATTTAACTCTTTGCCCTCTTTATTTCTAACAAATTAAATCTCTCTTGGAGTTGAAGGATTTTCCCCTTTGGATAAGATGTGCTTGGCAAGTGTCAGGGAACTGACATCGGAGCTAGAGGTGGAGGGAAGGCTCTCCAATGATGCTGGAGAAGGGCCCAGCAGGGAGAGAGGCAGCTCAGCAGATGGGGAAGCAATTCAGTGCAACACCAGGAATAAGGAGGGCAGATGGGGGAATCGGCGAGAGGGCTCCCAGACTCTTCACCGGACACCAGCGGGGAGAGCACTGGTCCTCCGCTACCCACGCCCTCCCTGCGCAGAAGACTTCCGCGCAGAGAAAGTAGGAGGAGACTGGGTGTCAAACAACTTTTATGTTGGAAAAGGTTTAAGAAACGCCCACTGACGGATTCTGCTAGTGACTGAGGCAGCCACGAATTGAAGGGCTGTCCAGACAGAAAGGTTTAACAAGGCAACATAGCCAGGAGAGGCGGCAACTTACGCACGAGCAACCCCATACCATTATAGCAAGGTATCTCTTCCCTCCATCCCACTCAAAGTAACAAAGTAGTGCAGTGCTTTCCCATGTATGCCCCTTCATCAGCGGCGGAGGAAGGCCCTCAGGCACCTGGGGCAGCATGCTCATAGGCAGGATGCATGGTGCCCACAGGGTTGGAATGGGGCGTGGGGCATCCCGGGGCATCCCTATGGGCGCTATGGCGTGCCCCATCCCTATGGACACTGCACGCCCCGTGCCATCCCATGCCGTCCCTGTAGGTGCTGCGCGCCCAATCCCTATGGATACCACGGGATGTGCAGCACCCATAGGGAAGGGTGCACAGCGGGGCCTCAGCCGCCCTACAGTTGGGGGGGAGGCAGCGGGCAGACTGCACAGAGCCTGCGGGCGCCAAGACGCATGGCTCATGGCTCGTGTGCACTGCAGGCCCCTTGGGGACGAGTGCCGCCCACCATTTTGACACCCCCCCATCAGGGTGACACCCGGGGCGGCCCACACACTCCGCACTCCCCTCCGTACGCCCCTGCTCTTCAGAAAGTCCACTAGGGATTTAACTCAGTAAACAGGTACAGTGGTACCTCTGGATGCCAACCCTGATCCATTCCGGAGCCCCGTCCGCATTCAGAAGCGAACGCAACCTACGTCTGCGCTGGTCGCAATTTGCCGGTTCTGCACATGCATGTGATGTCATTTTGACCGTCTGCGCATGCGCGAGCGACGAAACCCGGAAGTAACACACTCCGTTACTTCCAGGTCGCCGCAGTGCGCAACTCAAAAATACTTATCCTGAAGCTACTTCAATCTGAGGTATGACTGTATAGGATTACAGCCTTGATTGCTTTAAGAGTCCAACCCACACAACTAGTGGGGGAGATTCTTTCCGTCCATCAGTGGTGCAGGATTTCGGGTAGCGATCTCTCCCAACCCTACCTGGGAATGCTGAGCATTGAACCAAAGAATTTACGCACACAAAGCCCATGTTCTACCACCGAGTTTGGATTGGAAGAGATTACGCTCATCTCCAAGGGGAAGGTTCATAGATCAATGGTAGAACCTCTGTATTGCATACAGATGGTCCCACCTTCAATCCCCAGCATCTGGGAGAGACCCCTGCCTCAACTGCCACTGGTGTCGATTTTGGGCAAGACTGCACTGATTTTGGGCGAGATCTCACCCCAAATCGTGTGAGATCTTGCACGCTACACAAGATCTTAAGCAATTTCTTGCCCCAAATGACCATGATCTTGCCCAAAATAGGCACCAATTGTTGCAGCACTGCTGCTCACAGAGAAGGCAGGGCACCCACAGGCATGCCGTATGAGGAACTTCTACCACCTGAAGCAGCAGCCTCATCTGTCTCATGGCTGGGCCGGCTCTGCACAGAAGTATGTTTGACACACTCACTCTACAGCTTTTGTCATATGCTGAAGGTGCACCTCTTTGCCCTGACCGTTGTTGCTTGAGATTTCTATTTTTAGGGCCCAAACTATTATTGTGATTGTAATTGGGGTTGAACTGTTTCTAATATTGTACTTTAAATTGTTGTGACCCCCCCCCCTTGGGTTGAAAGGTAGATACTATAGATAGGGAAATTGTTTTGCAAAAGTATGTATATTTGACAAACTTGCATACAAACTAGGTGTGTTAGGAGAAATCTGCAGTAACAAGCCGCTGAATTTTCATGAGGACATTTTATGATGTTGAACTGTGTAGAACTGAACTTTAGAGGTTGGAAAAATGAGAAAGTGAAACTGAACTAGCCAGATCTGCCCATCCCTACTTAGAAGTAAGTCTCATGGAATTAGTTCCATTAAATAGGTATATTGCAGCCTAGGAAAGGAAAATGTAGCTGAAAGAGAGACAGGTTAAGAAAGAAAGAAAATCAGAGTCTCCTCCGTACTTGCTGTGGCCTGAATCATTCCTCTCATTGTTGTCACACATTTCAACAAGAAGGATTTCAATGCTCTGAGTGTCGAGGCAAAGGCCGATGTTTCAATTAAAGCTTCTAAATCTTGTGTCTCCAGAAAAGTTCAATATTGCTGTTGCTAATCTCTCTTCCCTCAACATGCTCTGAAAGCTTGATGGGTCTGACCTTCAATCTTTTTTTCTGCTTCCTCCACTTTATCTCTATTCTCCCCATGATTCTGGAAATATTCGCTTTGGCAAAAGTTCATGTCCTCAATTTCCCCAGGAAATTTGCTATCTACACCTTTGCAGAGCCAAAGGAGCTGTCTCCCTGCAATAGGAACTAACTCTGTCTCTCTGTGTTTTGCCCTCCCCACTGCCAAATTCGGAAGATGAACCTGTGATTTGTTATGGAGGGAAAGACCTTTCCGAAGTCCTCTAAGAAATGGGGGGGAGGAGCGAGGAGACTAGCCAGAAGCAATAGTAATAATACCTGGGGATGCATCAGTGTTAAGGAATAGGAGGACTGCCAGCTTATATCATTCAGGGCACAAAATTCCACTGCAGTGTGTCGTATTATACAGTGGTACCTCGGGTTAAGAACTTAATTCGTTCCGGAGGGCCATTCTTAACCTGAAACTGTTCTTAACCTGAAGCACCACTTTAGCTAATGGGCCCTCCTGCTGCTGCCGCCGCCGCTGCACAATTTCCATTCTCATCCTGAAGCAAAGTTCTTAACCCAAGGTACTACTTCTGGGTTAGCGGAGTCTGTAACCTGAAGCGTCTGTAACCCAAGGTACCACTGTACAGTTAAAAAGAGGATATCACCATATAATTCTAAATGGTCACTAGAGGTCAGCCACTAAAAGCAGCAAACTCTGTGGACCTTATACACATTTCTGAAGAACCATGAAACATGCACATGAAAGTAATCCTAGAGCATTCTTCCTTGACATCCCAACAGAACAGGTTGCTCAGCTAAAAATGCCGATTGCAAACCGATCGTGACCTACAAGGCCAAAGTTAATGTGTGCTTGGTAAGTTTCACCTGATCTCTAAACTGCTTTTTGAACATGGAAGAGTTGGTTAAGTTCTAGAAGGTGTCCTGCAACTTCTGGGAAGGGGCCTAGGCGTGCATAGGGCATGTACAAATGTATGATTCTGGATCCTGACAAGACTAGAAGCGGCAGCAGTGTAGGGCAAAATGAGGAGAATCTGCCCATCTACAGAGCAACTGCTTTGCATGCAGAAGGTCTCAGGGTCAACCCCCCGATCTCCAGGTTTTGGTTGGAAAGACCATGTCTGAAAATATGGAAGGCAATTGCCAATCAACATGGACAACACTGAGCTAGGTAGATAGAGGTCACTAATAATCTATTTCATTTCTGAAGCTAAAAATGAAATAAAAACACTGGAAAACAGCTACTAATTTAACTGTACAGTCATGACAGGGTACCCTATGGAATATAGTCCTTATGAAGAACTAACATAGCAACTTTGAGTGCTCAGGAACACAAAGAACAAAGACAATTTTGAAACTTTATGGTACGTGTTTATTTGATGAACTGGAAAGGACAAGGTTGTCCCCTCACCACCCACGGCTCATTCTGGGACAGGCTATTAAGACAGAGAGTAGAAGATACCTAACTGAAGTGATCGATTCTAAACTATTTACAAACTCACTTAATATTGGATTGCATTATTTACATTACATATGTTTGGAATGCTTCTTGGGCGGTGAGGATATGCGGAGCTTGTTTTCTATATGTATTTTTAGAAACTGAAAAATGAAGTCAAGAAGAAAAAGCAGGAAAGAAGAGAGTCCATTTGAGCAAGTTTCACTGTTTACTACGATACCTGTGTAACCACAAAGCAACTGAGAAAGAATGATTTGGGATTAGAGGAAAAGATTTTCATGTACAAAGGTATGGAGCTCAGACAAATTGTATTGTGATGATGCATAAAAGGTAAAGGTAAAAGGACCCCTGGCATTTGAGTCCAGTCGCAAACAACTCTGGGGTTGCGGCACTCACCTCTCTGTACAGGCCGAGGGAGCCGGTGTTTGTCCGCTTCCACAGACAGTTTTTCCGGGTCATGTGGCCAGCATGACTAAGCCGCTTCTAGCGAACCAGAGCAGCACACAGAAATGCCATTTACCTTGCCACCGGAGTGGTACCTATTTATCTACTTGCACTTTGGCGTGCTTTCGAACTGCTAGGTTGGCAGGAGCAGGGACCGAGCAACGGGAGCTCACCCCGTCGCAGGGATTCAAACAGCTGACCTTCCGATCGGCAAGTCCAAGCGGCAGAGTGGTTTAAACCACAGCACCACCCAAGCCCCGTGATGATGCATACCCTCCAACATTTCTCCAATAAAAATAGGGACATCCTAAGGAAAAGCGGGACATTCTGGGATCAAATCAGAAACCAGGACGGCTTCTGTAAATCCAAGACAGTTCCTGAAAAACAGGAATACTTTGAGGGTCTGAGTTTGAGCATGGACATGCCCCTATAACAGGCCCCCACAAACCTTTATATAGATCACAGGTACTTGTCCCCATTTTTTTCTGGGTACATCAAGCAGTTTGCTGTTTCTGAGATCATGTTTTTGAGAATCACCCATGCATCTAGATTGGACTTAGTTGATGTATTATCCTGAATGTAAATCTGAATGTTGGCAACCCCATGCCTGCCACTTATGTGCCTCGGCCCAAGAAATTGGTCCAAGAACAAATGTAACGTCTACTTGCAGTGCCAGTAAAAAAGTTACCAGTATTTCAGTTCTGGTGAAAGGAAAGGCCCGCTGGAAGCTAAGAGTGAGACCCACCAGCTGAGCTCACATTTAGTACCATGTTCTCTTTAGGTTGTAACTGATTTATAGCAATGCTTTCTCTTTTGTTTTGTGTTGGCTTTGCATCTATGGTGATGTTTTATGATGATGGCATCCTCCCCAATGCAAGATGTTTGGGGGAGGGAGAGAACCACACACACAGCAACCAACAACAACCAAGAACATAATACTGAATGAGTGAAGTGGAAACATAATGCTCAGATGAATTTGGATGGACACACTATTTGCCTTCACAGATAAGTCAGTGCGGTCCAAACAAAGCTTCCATTTGGAAATGAATGATGGCAACTTTGGTTCTTCAACCGGGACTCAACCTCCTACTTAGCCAAAAGAAGAGAAAGACACTGGTAGCTTAATTAAGTCAACAACAGTCAGAACCAGGTCCCCTTTTCTGGGTATGGAGATTTATTTCGCTCACATGCAGAAATTTCAAGTCATCTGGTGCACACAGGAATGACAGGATTAAACCCATGCCTGCACCTGCCAAAGAAAACACTCATCATTCATTTTAACTCCTTCACTCCATGAAGGTTTCTAGCAACTAAAGAACTAGCTTCCTTTTCACATTACGGTTTAAAGTGAAGGGGTTTCAGCAACTTTGCTTCATGTTTTGCTTCAAAAAATACATGTTTTGTCCTTCCAGACTGGCTATGATAATAATAATTTTATTATAATAATTTATTATTTATACCCCGCTCATCTGGCTGGGTTTCCCCAGCCACTCTGGGCGGCTTCCAACAGTATATTAAAATACAATAATCTATTAAACATTAAAAACTTCCCTAAACAGGGCTGCCTTCAGATGTCTTCTAAAAGTCTGGTAGTTGTTTTTCCCTGGTTCCACAGGATGGGTGCCACTACCGAGAAGGCCCTCTGCCTGGTTCCCTGTAACTTGGCTTCTCACAGTGAGGGAACCACCAGAAGGCCCTCGGCGCTGGACCTCAGTGTCCAGGCAGAACGATGGGGGTGGAGACGCTCCTTCAGGTATACTGGACCAAGGCCATTTAAGGCTTTAAAGGTCAGTACCAACACTTTGAATTGTGCTTGGAAACATACTGGGAGCCAGTGTAGGTGTTATGTGGTCTCTTCGGCCGCTCCCAGTCACCAGTCTAGCTGCCACATTCTGGATTAGTTGTAGTTTCTGGGTGACCTTCAAAGGTTAGGGTCAATCTGTGGGCAGGTAGGGGACAATCTGTGGGCAGGTAGGGGATACAAACTACCTCCTCCTCATTCTGTTGCAACAACCACCCTGCCTCCAAACCTGATCTTTTGGGGACTAATTAGAAAGCCATTGTGAAGGAATTGTGAAGATCCTTGCAAGGCTGGAAAGTCTTTCCACCTTCCATTCATTACCAAACTACGAATGTGGACAGTAGACCTGGATATGTTGTGTATTCTAAATCTCTCTCCCCCCCCCCCTTATTAATACATACAACACTGATAGAAGAGGGAGTGGATACATCATGTCTCTGAAATAAATTCAAAAGGTGTTTACATTAGTGAAAATTAATTATTAAGAACCCGAAGCTACACGCAGGTTATAAATAAGGTATGAGCGCTGGGTATTTATTCTCGCAATCTGAAGGAGGAAGCTCTAGTGGGAAAAGAATGTGACACATACCGTAACTTTGGCATATTTTTATTAGTACAATAAGTCTCTTCAGCTGCATGATACATGAAAATTATGTGTGAGGTACCATTGGGTTAGAATGCAGTAAAACATATAAACACAAATTAGTAGCGCCGCCAGAACGCAGCCAAGCATTTGCCGGTTTCTGAAGGGGTTCAGTAAATACATCCGCAGAGTGACACGTCTGTTTCAGCATGTGAGAGGGCAAAATGTACCCCATAAAGAAATCGTTTGAAATGATATGCTCTGCAACTGCTGCCTGCTCTGGGGAAATAAAGCACACTGCAAAGGTACAAGCGGAAAGCGAACCCCATAAAGCAGTATACTGCTAAGAAAAGTTGCCATTTAAGATACTTGTGGTTTAGGAGAAGTGAGCCCAAATGTTGGGATCCCCAGAGTGGCACCCATGTGCACAGCAAAGCCCTTGAGGACATCCCACAAAGTCTCTGAGCCCTGCATTCTTCTTTCGTCATGGAGTGGTGAGGGCTGTCGGTTACGAAAGGGAGAAACGTGCTAAGAGGAAGGCACGCTTGGGAAACCCTCACCGTGATCAACTCCCACCCAGAAACCTATGTCCCCACTGTGGGAGGACGTGTGGATCCAGAATTGGCCTCCACAGTCACTTATGGACTCACTGTTAAGACCGTGTTTATGGAAGACAATCTTACTCGGCTACGAGTGATTGTCAAAGAAGAAGACAACCTATTTCCCGCTTGAAAAGCAAACATAGAATCATAGACTTGTACAGTTGGAAAGGGACCTCAAGGATCATCAAGTCCAGTCTGCTGAAATGCAGGAATATGCAGCTGTCCCATATGAGAATTGAACCTGCAGTCTTGGCATTATCAGAACCACGCTCTAACCAGCTGAGCTATCCAGGCATGACAGTTTCTCGCTTTGCCGTTTCGCAAGGGTGACTGGCAGGTGGTAACACGTGCACAGGGCCCTAAACCAGCAGGACACCCTTAGCTTTCATTTTTTAAAAATAGTATGTCAAACAGGCAACTACAAATAAAGTTAGAAAATCGAACATAAAGGCAGCTGTCCAAGGCTTCAGAGGGAAGAAACAGTGCTAATTTCGGTCAGTCATGGTTGCGAAGCAATCAGAGGAAGGAATACCGACCACCCACACTTGGGACTGAGAAGCGGGGTGTTGAATTCCGGAAGCCAAGACCCAAGTTTGGGGTAAGCATCATTTGGCGACAGAACACCAGTGGAGATTTGACATCACAAACATGCAGCAAAGCAACATGTGGAAATACAGGCTGTGAAACCTTTAAAATGTGACCTCCTAGTGTGTCCCAAAATACCCCTTTCTAAAAGCTCCTTCCAAGCTATCCCACTTCCCTAGCATAGATAGACCACACGTTTTGGAAGTCAAAAAATGGTTTACTTACAAAACTCTCCAAAGATCAGATTCCTGTGCTTTTCCATACTGCGGTCAGAAAAATGGAGTCAAAACATTGCTTAGCTAGGAAAGGCAAAAGTTTCTAAACTATTGCTATGGCGGCAGACTAGTTTCAGACTCCATTATGGTCTGAAACAAAACAGGGTGGTTAAAGCCATGCTCAGAGCTTCTTGCGTACAGGGAGAGGGAGAAAAAGGGCTTGGCGATCCATTTCCCCTCAAGTTGGGAAGTGATTACATAGGCTAAGTCTGGCAGGACACCTTACTCTATGGTTTTAACCTCTTCATGCACTAATTAGATTCAAACATTCTAGAGTTTTATTAGGCTGGGACCCTACAGGAGGACTTCCCACAGTACCAGGGGAAAAACAGAAGTTCCTTGTTGCTGCTGCTAGTCTGAAATTGGACAGGAGGAGGATACTGGGGTATGTCTGTTTAAGCACTTTCCTCTGTGTCAACATTATTTCATTCACTCTCCGAGTGTGCTTGCTACCCTTACACTACAAAATACAATTGGATGGATTTGGTATATTTTACTCAGAAGTAATGCCCTTGACATAATTGAGGCTTCCTTTCCCTCCCCGTTTTTTTAATCTTCACACCAGCCCTGCAAGGTGACTTCGGTTAAGAGCTGATAATTCAGACATCCAAGTGGTGAAGTGTTTCTTGCTTGCTTTTATTTATTAGGGTTGGCAAACTTCTGCTCTTTTGTGGGGTTTGGTATTTTGCTGTAAATACCGAGACTCTGAGACGTTGCAATTAAAGGAGAAGGGGCTGCTTTTCTGCCTTTGTGCATGTTCAATTTTCTTTATGTGAGCAACATATCTTTGTATCTTGCTTTTCCTCTCAGGAGCCCAGTGTTGCGCATGTTACTCTCCACCCCCCTTTTATAACTGCAACAGCCCTGTGAGGTAGCGAAGTTAATATGTGTACATAAGCTGTGGTTCTTGTCAATAAATGGAAGGTGTAATGGATTTAGGGGTTGTTTGTGCGTAAGTTGCCGCCACTGCTGGCGAGGTTACCTGGTTAAACCCTTTCTGACTGAACAGCCTCCAGCATCGTGACTGTCTCAGTCGCTGGCAGAATCCGTCAGTGGGCGTTTCTTGAACCTTTTCCAGCATAAAAGTTGTTTGACGCCAAGTCTCCTCCTACTCTCCCTGCGCGGAAGTCTTCTGCGCAGGGAGGGTGTGGGCAACGGAGTACCCGTACTCTCTCCGCTGGTCTCCGGCGAGGAGTCTTGGCGCCTCCTCTCTGATTCCCCCATCTGCCCCCCTTCTCCACTGGTGTTACGCTGATTTCCTTCCCCAGCAGATGGGCTGCCTCTCTCCCTACTGGGACCCTCTCCGGCATCCCTCTGGAGCCTTCCCTCCGCCTCTAGCTCCGATGGCAGTTCCTTGACAGAAGGGGACAGGGGACAGTCCATATACCGTGTACCAGACCCAGGAAATCCTATTGGCATCCTCAATTTCAGCTCTATATGATTTCCAAGGTTCAGATCTGGTCCTGAGCTGCTGATGCAAGTCTTGAAAAGCATCTAAAGGTGATAGAGGAAGAGGCTATGGCACAAATCCTGATAATTTTTCCAAGGGACCTCCTCAGAAATCACCATCAAAGCATAAACCACCTCTGTGTACACTCTTTGATTTGTTGGTGGTTTTGTTTTCATCTTATATAAAACTCACAAAGATCAGTGAGAATTTATGCCTCAGATCAATGCCTTTGTGGCGATGTTATTTTTTTTCCTGTACAGTCTACCACTTTAAGCTTCTGTTTGATGGCGTTTTTGAGGGGGGGCCATGAAAAACCGAATTCAAGATGGTCCATTTTAATTCTCTTTAGTCCAGCTTTTACTTAGACCCATTGGGGGAGGGAAGCATGTCTCTTTCAGTCTGTTAGAAGAGGGAGACGTGGGGAGGGAAAAAGCAACCAGACAAAAGTGGTGCCCAGAGCATTCTCTAAACTCCACATGTGCCCATGGGCCTGAAGGTGTTGGCACCCTCTGCATAATGTATGCATTATTGTAAAAGAGAACACAAAGGGGGGGAACCCAAATGAGTGGTGGAGGGTTTAAGTAAGTGCTATGCAAAGAAGGACAGATCGTGAAGCTGAGGCTCCAATACTTTGGCCACCTCATGAGAAGAGAAGACTCCCTGGAAAAGACCCTGATGTTGGGAAAGATCACAAGGAGAATGGGACGACAGAGGACGAGATGGTTGGACAGTGTTCTTGAAGCTACCAGCATGAGTTTGACCAAACTGCGGGAGGCAGTGGAAGACAGGAGTGCCTGGCGTGCTCTGGTCCATGGGGTCATGAAGAGTCGGACACAACTAAACAACTAAACAACAACAACAATGCAAAGAAGTACAGTGGTACCTCAGTTCAAAAACCAAAATGTTCATCAAAGGAGATGTTTGAAAACCTCTGGATATGTATCCTTCGGGTTACGCATGCGGCAAACCCAAAAGTATTTTCCCGGGTTTCGCCGCACACACATGCACAGGCGTGCTCTACCGCACCGCGCGCATGCGCAGGCACGCTCTACTGTGCCATGCACATGTGCAGAACAGGCACCTCCGGTTGTGAAAACCTCAGGATCCAACCGGAGCTCCGGAACAGATCCTGTCCACAACCAGAGGTATCACTGTACTTCGTTTTGTCCATCTTGAATCTTCCACTGTTCAGTTTCATGGTTCTACATTATGAGAGAAGTGAGAAAACCTCTTCCTTATTCACTTTCTCCATGCTATGTATCATTTATCTCCAGCAACAACCACCCCCACCAGTTTCCTAAGGGGGAGAAATGAAGCAGTGGAATATTACACCCTCAGCAAGATGGTTTTGCATTTGCAGGATACATCTCTTTCAACCTTCATCACCCTGAACGTAGATCTACAAAGCATCCTCTCCACGCACTTCCTATTTAATGAAAGGCAAAGTAATTCAGGCCTTCGGCAAGAAGATAAATATTTATCAGCCTCTAAAGGAGAGAAACATTTGGTTGCTCTTTGGGATATTTAAACGTCCCCCTTGGGGGCGGGGGAATAATTTTGCTAACAGTTCAGATGGATGACAGCGTAAGGAAAAATGGAGGGAACTGTCAACATAACCTGTGCACGTATTATTCATGGCATCAGAGGAGGCGTAAGGTGGCTTCAAAAAAGAGTGAGCCAACAAAGGCATTCCGTGGTCCATAACTAGGTTTTCTTCTCAACGCAAGGTAGGCAAGGCAAAGGTACACATGTTCTCAAACCATGTTCCTAGGAACCCTGGCGTTCTTTGAAAACTTATCAGAGCTTCCTCAGTATTAAGACTGATAATGAACAACGGCTGCATTATTCTCCTTTCCTTACAAAGTTCAGCAGAATTTGGGGGACATTTTAGGGTGGCCTCTCAGAAATACACATTCTGAGACCCAGGAGCCTGGTTGTTGCCCAGGACCAACTAAGAATGCCCTGTCAAAGACTTCCCCAAATCCTTTCCAGTGTGCAAAGATCCCATGGCTTCTGTGTAAGGATTTGTCAGCAAGACAGGAGCAATGCAATCTCAATCCGGACAGTAGAGGACCTGAAAACCACTGCTGACTACAAGAAGAATGCACAAGCAGTGTTCTTCCTCTTTGACTTTGAAGGGCCCTGTAAGACTGAGCGTGGTTCCCGAGTTTGCAAAAGGAAAACAAACCAGCTCCATCACTTCAGGACTCCAATTCCAATATTTGATTATTGACACCCACAAGAGAATATCACAAACTCCTACTCAAGCTGGTCCTAAATATCACAAACACCCCTCTACTGGCCATGATATAGATAGATATTTTAAAATACAAACCAGTCATGCCTGACATATGGGGAATGTGTCAAGAGCGACTCCCCCCGTCCACTGAGGTCAGCCTGTGTTGAAAAACATCCCAGGCTCACAGCTTGAACATGACAAATGCAGTCTGTTACAGCCACGATTCACAGGTACCAGTGCTTCCCGGCCATCTGGGGTGTCATTTGAAATCAAGCTGTGGTCACGCTGCAAGCAAGACATCATGAGCGAGTCAACGAGATCAAACCCGGGAGCTTTGTCACAGAAAACAACGAGGCGTTAGCCATTTGAGCTGAGGCAGAAAAGGAGGGTGAAAGCATTTTAATGAATTTTAATGCTGCTGCAGTTTACATTCCCATCATTTTAAACTCTTATCGATATCGTTGTTTTCCCCTCTTCCCATTTTATTGTGATTTAACATGTCGGCTTTCCTGTCAGTCAGCCTGATTAAACTACAGCTAATCCAGAATACGGCTGCCAGACTGGTGACCAGGAGCGGCCACTGAGACCGTATGACACGGGTCCTGAAAGACCTTGGCTTGGGAGTTGCATAACTCCATACCTGATAAAAAGAGGCACGTCCTAAGGTGTGGGTTAAACCACAGAGCCTAGGACTTGCCGATCAGAAGGTCGGTGGTTCGAATCCCTGTGACGGGGTGAGCTCCCG